GGGGGGGGGGGTCACTTTAGGATAAGTAATCGCAGTTCAGCTAACAGAAGAGGAGCAGAAGAAAGTACTTTCACTGCCGCCAAATGTCTAAATAGGTCAAACCAATGACTGTATATTCTATTTTTAAGAGGTCTTGAGGTTGTTTAAATGAAACGATGACTCACCTGCAGTGGGGCTGGCAGCACATTTAGACATGAAAACATCTCTGCGTTGTTGCTGGTCACTCTGGGATGGTGATAAACCGAAGTTATTTTTCGTTGGGGTGATAAAAACAAACGGAATGGCTAATTGGCTTTAATTAGGGCCACGTGCGTGCCTCTGTCTTTCAGAATGCGCGCCGCGTTCATGCTAGCTTTTTCTTAGAGGGTCACGAGCTACACCCAACTAAATAAGCTATAGGTACTGACCTGTATGCGGTGTATTCCTTTAAGGCTGAGGTGAGCTGTTCATTTTCCCAAGAGGCCACTTGAGAAATGAGTGTTTGGCTTATAAGATTATACAAAGATGAAATTAAGCACATTTGACTTATTGTCGTGAACCTCCGCAGCAGTCCCAGTTTCTCATGTGGACCTTTGAAAAAATGAATTGTCCGCTCCTGCTTTAAAACATCGTAATTAGTAATGATCGAAATTAGAACATGTTCTTATTTCAGCTTCATGCCTCCAGTTTAAATGTGTTTTTATCAAACTTTCTTCCACAACATGTTTTTTGAAAGCTTACAGCACATTGCTGTGCGCTAATCAGCTGCTATTAATAATCTCAAATTAACGGTTTGACATTTAGCGAACTCTGTGTGACTCAGATGTGGCAAAATTAAGATCAGATTATCTCCTTCTGTCTCTCTAATCAAAGGTCACTTCTGTGTCCAAAACATAACTCTACCCTTTTTATAATGTGACTAATGTGTGGCTTCATCATCCGCCTCTTAAACTAAGGAATCAAATTAGAGGTGAAGACAAATCACACAGTGTGCATGAAAGACAAAAAAGACAGCAAACAGCTTTTCAGAATAAATTCTTATTATCAGCAATAATATACTGCAGCCTAATCGGTTTCTGCAGCATATGTAACATAAAGATTATAGCCTATACTTAATACATTCCAAACACACATACAGACATATCATTATGTTTCTGAAACGATGCAAAAACATCTATACAGTAATTAATGGAGAGGAGGCGAGTAAAATATACATCTACAAAAAATATATAATTTAATCCTGTTTGATCTAGAGACAGACGTTAAATTGAGACTGCATGATCAACTCAACAACTCTGAGCATCTGCCATAGTCTTCTAGTTATACTGTGAAAGCTAAAGGTTTAAACAGTATATTAGAATAAATGTGTAGCGTGTTGGTTAAAAAAAAAGAGCTACTGCACACAAAAGTCCAGGTGTTCAGTTCAGATCTCAATTATGTGCATTTTTTAAGTTTCGAAAAAGAAACGGAACAAAAAACTAAATTGAAAATGTTTCTTTAAATTCCGGAGTAGTCAGTGTTGTCTGAAACAGAATCTGGTATGTACAGAAAAGAGAAGCAATGAGATTTATCTCCTGATTCTCTAGTGTTTTTCAGCGTCCTCCATGAGCCTGCGGTCACTTTATAATACACACAGACACACACAGACACACACAGTGTAATCGATTAGTTGTGAGGCTAGCCCACTGCTGGGCTAAACAGCAGCATCTGTCCCGCTGAAATGACAAATCAAATCACATCGCAAGACAGTGCAAGATCTCACACTGCATATGCCCAAGAAATAAGATAAAATGCCTTTTTTTAAATAGGAAAAAAGTATTTTGAGAATTAAAAAGGACATAAAATAGACATTTGAATATATAGTGACATCTTCCTCCAAACTTTGAATATATCTTATCATTTGCATGTGCGATTGTTGACTGACACAAACATATAATTGCATATGCAGAACATGTTAACAAACCCTCGTAACACACTATATTAATACCTGATGATCCCACAGCAGGTTACGCCACCCTCGTCAAAGAAGGGGCTGCTGTTAAGACTACTGATTTTAGCCAGGATCACGTGTGGAGGGTGTCATAGCACTTACAAAAGGGTTGATTATAATGTACATGAGTTTATATTAGTTGAATATGTCACTGTTAGCTGGAGGTGCCTACAGCACAGCCTGTGCTCTTTCTTTAGTCTTTTCCTCCTCTAGTCTCTTCATGGCTTCGATTACTGCAATCTCTTTGGCCTCTTTCTTCTGGTTCCTCGCCTCAAACAGCAACCTGAGTCAAGGGAAAGTGTAAGTAATATATAGTAAGCCTAGTTTCAAACAAATATACACTCATTGGCCACTTTATTAGGTATACCTGTTCGACTGCTCGTTAATCGAACTAATGTAACTATAAATGTTAACTAACTCCAGGTTAAAAGGTACCATGATTGCATCAACATGTACGATAAATTTACTACATCTGATTGTTTTACCTGTTTTTGATTATCCTTTGCACGATGGCGTCCGTAGTGAGGCTGTTCCCGCTGTCAACAGTGCGCAGGATCCCTTTTCTTCTGGGCTCCTGAGTATTAAGGAAAAACTGTAAGTAAACACTTATATATGTGTTTTCATAAAAATAAAAAAAAAATAAAAAATCGCAGCATATTTGTGGGAGTCTTACAGCATAAGGGTCAGATCCATCTTTGTCGGGATATATTTCTGTCTTTCCGTGGCAAACGAGATCCACCTGTGGAAATTAAGTCACGTGTTTCACTGTATTATTTCTTCCTGTTACCTATGCAGTGATAAAAGTTAATTATAGCGTGTGCACGTACCTTAAAATGATCCAGCAAATCTTTTGTGACAGCAAACGGTGCACCGATCACCACTTCTGACACATACTGTAGAAACAAAAAAAAAAAAAGAATACAATTCATAGATTTATAATCAATGAACTTTCATTGTTCTGTGCTGATTGATAAAGTTTAAACAGAACTTACTCGACAAGCCAGGACGCTGAGAGTCCTCTCGTGGACATTCATGATGGGGTAGTTTTTCCCTTTGTAGCGATTCACCTCCTGAATGATATGAACGCAAGCATTGAGAAATCTCAAAAGGAGGCAGTAAATGTCTCACAAAGATATAGAAATACTGACCTGATCAAAGTGTAGCCCCACTATAATGTAAGGCTTTTCTGCAAGCTTATGCACGGCTTCCAGAAAGTCCACATGGCCAATGTCTGGTAGGAGACTAGTCAGGAATGTATTCCAAATACTATTGCATAGCAACTGTTTTAGGATTTAAAGGGAAAAAAAGGTTGGTGTATAATAAATTCTAGCAATTATTGTGAGGTTAACAAAGGATACGGAAGAGATCAAAGGCTCCTGCCACATAGATTATAGTTTCTCCAGGTTGAGGCTCCTGGCCTGAGGCAAACTGGATGATTTTCTGAGATGTCTGAAGGAATTGAGACACCCCTGTCCAGGGACTATGGCCCTTCTGGTCAATCAAGAAAGAAGAAAAAGAAGTGTAATGTGACAAGTAGGAATACAACAGATTTACTTCAGTATAGCTGGTAGTATTAACAGGGACTAGAAAGTATTTCTCTGATGCTACCTTTTCTTCAGTGGTTCCATTACAACTGCAGAATTGAAATTTTCAGACAGACACTGTGTCTACTTTTACAATTAGGCTTAAACTTGTTCTTTTGATAACGTTTACAGGTAGATGTTGCTATAGGCTGAGCCTGCTGTGACGTCCTGAGCATTTCCTCAGAACAGATCACATTCTGTTAAAAGGGGCTTCTTCATTCTCGCCATCACCTTGCTGACAGGACAAGTCAGATTTGGGGAATTTTTTTTCCTATAAGACACTAGGGTCCTTTACCTTACAGCATAAAGTATCTTGAGGCAACTGCTATATAAATAAAATGGAATTGAACTAAACTGAGCATTGCCCCTACATATGAGACCAGAATTAAACTTGTGCTGCATCACTGCCACCCAGTGGTGTAAGTGGTCAATGTCACCTTTGGTCAATAGCAGGCCTACAAATCCAGAATGCATTTATTCATTCCTCGCCAAATTCACAGCATTACTCTTCCACTCTTAAATGTGGAGAGACCCTCTATTTCTTTGAAGCCGTTTAGAGCCACAGCATGCTGGCTCTGAGTTACTTTCCCCATCCAAAGAACAGAAGTGGCATTCAGTATTGACTGGAAAGGCCTTCCACTTGATTACAAAGTGGGTCCTAAATCAAAGACCTTTATTTAATTATCTCTGACATCTGGTCCAAACACCAAAGTTTGCTACTTAAATAACAAAACAGTTAAGTAAGAGGAAGTCAAAGAGCCAGCAATCTTTGGTCAAACACACCCAGCTGAAAGGCTTGACTTTGAGCTGAAGTTTTGATATGAACTGGCTCATAAGGAAACCATCAAATGAAGTAGAAAATTTACTTACTTTTCCAAAGTTATCTGTGTGCTCCTGATAGTCTGAAGTGTCCTAAAACAGCAGATAGGAGAAGTTTAGCTTTGTATTCTGATCTGAGCTCATACAGAGAGAATCTGGTGATACTCACAATGTTGCTGTGGTGGGCTTTGGTCATCAGCAGCATCCTGCCAACTAAGTCTGTTGTTGAAACTCCCTGGGTTCGCTTGCACTCCCTGTAACATCACGGCACAGTATGTAACTTTAAAAAAAAGAAACATCCCACCCTGGCTATGCTTATTTGGAAAGGAAAACTCACCTGTACCGTCCTGACTTCTTCACCTCTTCATATGTATCTTTTCCATCCACAGTTAATGTTATATCGTCTGAAAGAACAGCATACATGAGTTCTTCTCTAAACTTTAGGGAAATACAGCTGCCTACGACTCCAGCTACGTGTCTAAATAAGGGCGTAGGGTGATGATATTCCATACCTCCGTGCACACAGAAGTCACAGTTGTACTTGTCGAGGGTCTCGAGGGTGGTGACATAAGGAGCTCCTTCCACGACCTCGTCCACCCATTTTATGGCCCGCACCATCTTATATCTTTCTTCCTGAGTGAAGACTGGGGGACCCTTGTGCTTTGAAATCTCACCTTGCAAACAAAAAATAAGTAGAGTGATTGAGACACTCGCAGCAGATGCATTTCTTCTTAAGTTGAAAGAAAGGTTGCTGCTATCTGTGCCGGCCCTGACCGTCAAGGCATTCTGTGTTATCACAATGTCAGAGTGCCCCAGTGCACTCTGTGCACCACAGGAGGGTGGGGCACAGCTAAGGCGCCCTGCTACTGTCACAACAACTCTTTCCAAGTGCAGTGGATGCAGCTGGTGCCTGACTGGTAATGACAGGACTGAGGAAGATATACAAGCCCTGCAGGTGCTATGGTAAGGAGAAATAGCAGAATGC